GACTTGCGGTCCTGGGTAGTGGAGACCGGGACTGGGACACGCCCCCCTCCCGGGGCGCTCAGGGAAGTTATCTAACCCGAGGGCAGGGATCCCCGAATTTGAGGGTGACCTGACATAACCTGGTACCCGGATGATGATTCTAAATGAGACACGCGGGCCCGGGGAGCCAGCTGTTTCTACTCCGGAAAAACATCTCCAAAAAAGCTCCCAACATACATCTCTGGGTAACCCCAGTTATACCCTAAACTGCAGGGGTGGTGACCTTTGCTTCTGCAGCCGCCGTTTCTGTGAAAATCTCAAGACCAGGATATAAGCCCAGGGGAGCCCTGGAAGCTGGGGCCGGAGCACTGGGTGGGGTGGGCTGGTTAGGGAGGGAGGCTGTCACCATAGTTGGGAGACTGGAGTACAGCTGAGGAGGGGTGCTGAGGGGTTTCCTGCCCAGCTGTCTCAGGGGCATGGAGACAGGGGGCACAGCTGCTTGAATCCTTGACAGAAAAATAGGCAAAGAAAATCAGGAGTGTTCCTCAGCTTCCATAACCTCACATTCTACTTCTGGCCAGGCCCCCCCAGGATGCAATGGCACAGCCCCCCCGGCTGAGCCGCTCCGGTGCCCCCCCACTTTGGGACCCAGCTTCCTCTGCTCCCACCTCAGGCCCCAGGCCTCGACTTTGGGAGGGTCAGGATGTGCTGGCCAGATGGACAGATGGGCTGCTGTACTTGGGAACTATCAAGAAGGTGAGACCTTTGACCTCTGACCCGTCACCTTTCCCCCAGTCTCCTCCTCTAGTTCGGATGCCCTTTTTACCTGTGTACTCACCCACTCCAGGTGGACAGTGCTCGGGAGGTGTGTCTCGTGCAGTTTGAGGATGACTCCCAGTTTCTGGTTCTGTGGAAAGACATTAGCCCTGGTGAGACCCTAGAGGCCTGGGGGTGTGCATCCCAGGGAAGACAGGAACCAGCCTAAAGGACAGGCCCTAACCTGTGTTCCCTCGCAGCTGCCCTCCCTGGGGAGGAACTCCTCTGCTGTGTCTGTCGCTCAGAGGCTGTGGTCCCTGGGAACCGGCTGGTCAGCTGTGAGAAGTGTCGCCACGGTGAGAGCACAGGACACCTGGATGGTCCAGCTCGCCCTGGACATTCCCGGCTGCTCTGTCCCTTCCCTCCAGCACTGGTCCTTATACCCCCTGTTCTGGCCTGTCCCCCAGGCCACTGGTCTGGCCAGTCTCTTCAACCCTGTAACCTCAGTCCCTTCCCAACACAGAGAGGCAGCCATGGGATGCGGATGTGTGAGCTTTGCAGGCAGAGGGTGGCTCAAGTAATCTCTTAACCATATGGCTTTGAACAAGTCTCACAACCTCTAGGAGCCTCAGTTCCCTCACCTGTAGCATAAGGGTAGTTACCCCCCTCCCCCCGAAACAGGACGATGGCCGAGAATTAAATGAGATAAGACTCTTCCTCTCCCAGGCCTAGTACACGGAGGTTTACAATTCAGTAAGTGCTCTACCTCAATGTCATTATTCAGCTTATCACCAGGACTGCCACGTTCCAAGGGCCCCAGCCCCTGGAGAGGGAGAGGGCACGTCCTGGGTCTGCCGCCAGTGCATCTTTGCCATCGCCACCAAGGTAAAGGCACCTTCCTATTGGAGCTGCCCACCCACGGCCTCTCCCAAGCCTCTCCTCACCCCACTGCTGATGTGGCCCGCCCCTTCTGTCTCTGCAGAGGGGGGGTGCACTGAAGAAGGGCCCCTACGCCCGGGCCATGCTGGGTATGAAGCTCTCTCTGCCGTATGGACTCAAGGGGCTGGACTGGGACGCTGGACATCTGAGCAACCGGCAGCAGAGCTACTGTTACTGTGGTGGTCCTGGGGAGTGAGTAATGAGGGGCAGGGGTTCAGGAACAAGTGATGCAGTGGTTGTGCAGGAATTCCCGGGGAATAGAGGAGAACAGGGTAAGCAGAGTGCTGAAGCGGAGGCGGTCAGTGGTGAGCAGGGTTTGGGGCAGTTAAGGGAGTGTCTGGAGGTCACTAGTCCTGTGTGCCCCCTCAGGTGGAACCTGAAAATGCTGCAGTGCCGGAGCTGCTTGCAGTGGTTCCACGAGGCCTGCACCCAGTGTCTGAGCAAGCCCCTCCTCTACGGGGACAGGTGAGACCAGGACAGACGCCGGGAGCCCAGAGAGCCCTCTTGATCTGCCCACCCTCTCAGTTCCCCCACACCTGCCTGTCTCAGATCCATTCTCCTCACAACGTCTCAGGTGTTGCTCACTAGTTCCCCATCCTTGCTTTGTGAGCCCACCATAGCATGGTATAGTTTTCCCGTGTCAGGTGTATTCTCTCTCTTGCCCACATCCAGGTTCTATGAGTTTGAATGCTGTGTGTGTCGGGGGGGGCCTGAGAAGGTCAGGAGGCTACAGCTTCGCTGGTGAGCTTGACCTCAGTGTAACTCCTCTCTCCCCTACCTGCCCCAACCTCCCACTCGGAACTCCCCTGGCTGTTGTAATGCTTCCACAACCTTGACAACTCAATGCTTCTCCAGGGTGGATGTGGCCCATCTTGTCCTCTATCACCTCAGCGTTTGCTGTAAGAAAAAATACTTTGATTTTGACCGTGAGATCCTCCCCTTCACCTCTGAGAATTGGGACAGTTTGCTTCTTGGGGAGGTAAGGGGTGGTGAAGCTTTGGAGGTTGTGCGGGAAGAGGGAGATGTGAAGAGGGGGAGGGAGCAGTGCTTCTTGACCCCACCTTCCCTATTCTTCCCCAGCTCTCGGACACTCCCAAGGGAGAACGTTCTTCCAAGCTCCTCTCTGCACTCAACAGCCACAAGGACCGGTAAGCTGAAGGGAGGCCGAGAGGTGATGTGGAGACGGAAGCTGGGGAGGGCGGTGCTGCGATCCACCTGGACACCGTCTGGAAAGCAGGGAGGAAGGTCAGAAGAGGGCCCCTTTTCTATAACACTGACCTGTACCGTTTCTCTCCTCACCCCAGTTTCATTTCAGGAAGGGAGATTAAGAAGAGGAAATGCTTGTTTGGTCTTCATGCTAGGATCCCTCCTCCTGTGGAGCCACCTACTGGAGATGGAGCCCCCACCAGGTCACTGGTCTAGGGGGGATGGGGAAGTTCTGAGGGTATTAATCTGGGGGTAAATATATATGGAGGTGGGGGTCTTTGGGGTGTCCGGGAGGGGGCTGGGGGGATAAGGAGGCCTCTTACAGCTTCCCTTCAGGGCAGGGCCCTGGGGGAGGGGTTCCACGTCCCCTGGGGAAGCGCCGGAGGCCGGAGCCAGAGCCCCTGAGGAGGCAGAAGGGGAAGATGGAGGAGCTGGGGCCACCCTCAGCAGTGCGCACTCAGCCAGAGCCCCAGGAGCAGAGGCAGCGGGCCCCTCTGCAGAGGGCACTGCAGGTACAGAGGCAGAGGCAACCCCATGGGGCACATGCTGGTGTGGGGGATCCAGGGTTCTCTCTCAGTCCTCTGCTCCTACTTCTAGGCCTCAGCGTCTCCACCACCCCCCAGCCCTAACCAGAGTTACCAGGGCAGCAGCGGCTACAACTTCCGGCCCACAGACGCCCGCTGCCTGCCCAGGTCAGTGCTGCTCCCCCCTCCAGAGATATGCTGCCCTAGAACCTCTCTAATTGTCCACATCCTCTGGACTTTCTCACCCAGAATTCTCTCATTTGGCTACCCACTTTTTGTCCCAGAGAGACTTCTAGAACCAATGTCTGGTCCCCAGTATCCTGGGGATGGGGGTTCCTCAGGGGTAAGCTCATTCAGGGGGAGAATGTCGTTTTCTTGCTTCAGGTCCTGACTTTTCTCCCTCCCCAACCCTAGTAGTCCCATCCGGATGTTCGCTTCCTTCCACCCCTCTGCCAGCACTGCAGGGACCTCTGGGGATGGTGAACCCCCAGACAGGTGAGATTCTACCCCTTTACCTGTGACACCCCTCGTTGTCTCTGTGTTCTTCAGGTCCTCAATCTCCAACCATTTCTTCATTCCTCTGATCTGCTTGTGGGCTCCATTTCTGGTCAGTCCTTACTGTCTTACTGGACTCACAACTGCCTTCTCTCCCTAGGTCACCCCTGGAACTTCACATTGGTTTCCCCACAGACATCCCTAAAAGTGCCCCTCACTCGATGATTGCCTCATCTTCCTCAGTCCCAGCGCCCTCCCCAGGTCTTCCTAGACGCTCAGCACTCTCTTCTCCCCTGTGCCGTAGTTTGTCTCCTGGGACTGGGGGAGGAGTACGAGGTGGGGTTGGCTATCTGTCCCGAGGGGACCCTGTCCGAGTCCTGGCTCGGAGAGTACGGCCTGATGGTTCTGTGCAGTACCTGGTGGAGTGGGGAGGCGGGGGCATCTTCTGAACAGCCTGCCTCTGCCCACCTCCCCATCCACATACATCGGCACTTTTGTACCCTGACCTCTGACCTCACCTACAGCTGGGATGTACCTGAGGAGGTAGGGGGTAGTTTTCCTACTGCCCAGGTGGAATCCAGGGGAGGCGGGGAGAAGAGGCTCTCTTCTCTACTCCCTTCATGATTCCTGAGCTTTCCCCCACCCTGCTTCCCATTTCCTTTGATGTTATTTTGTTACAGCTTTTAAAATATTTTTAAAAATTATTTAACCCCTGGGGATGGAGACTGAGGAGGGGAAGGATGATAAAGGATACTGGGCTCTGTATTATTGAAATAAAGATAAACAAATCTGGCAGCTGAGTCATTCTGAAAGATGAGAACACAGGACTAGAAGCACTGCTGATCTTCCCAACCAAATTCATACGTGACGAGAAAAGGCAAAGGCAGAAAGAACCAAAGATAGGATTTATTAGGGGCCCAGGTCAGAGGGCCCTGAAGTATGGAAGGGAAGGTGGCAGGAACAGGGCTCCTCATGGTGGGACTGTGCTGGGGTCAGAAGCTGCCTCTGTAACCTGGTGCACCCAGCGCAGGTATGGGGAGTTCCCCTGCTCCACAGGCAAGGAGATCACCTCAGCCACTTCGTAAGGGTGCACAGAGCTGTGAAATAGAGGGGTGGGTCATTCAAGAGTTACCCAAAAGAGCCCAACCCCACGTTACCCACCCTGACCACGGCCTGCCCTCCAGTTCAAAATTCTCACCGAACAAAATCTGTCAAAGCTGGCACCAAGGAACTTGGGGTTTTAATCATCTAAGGGGTGAAGACAAATGTGGTTGAATCCACCCATGGGGCTGATCTCATGAAGGAGAGGGGTCAAAGGTCAGAGAATTGAGGCTTCGCGGGGTGGGGAAATGATTCTCACCATCAGCACCTCACTGTCCTCCTCAATCTTTCCTTTCCACTCATAGCTGAAAAGGTCAGGGAGAGTTGTGAGAGCAAAGGTTTTCCCCAACGAAAAGACCGCCAGTCAGCCCCAGCCGCGTTAGGGCGACCCCAATCCTGACTCACATGGACGTAATCTGAGGGATGAGGTTGACGCAGGCTGCCAGGCGCTTCTCCACCACAGCCCTGGAGGCGAAGAGACCCCTTCAGAGCGCTCCACCACCCGGCTTCTGCGCTGCCAGCCCAGAGGCGGGCAGCGGTGGGAGGGACCTTCAGCACCCCAACTCTCCCTCTGGTCTGACTCTTCCCACACGGATCCCCACCTGGCGATCTCCTTGGCGACCTTCTCATTGGGGCAAGTCACGAAGGCTGCAGAGACCGAGCCCGGAACGTAACCGGAGTCCGCGGCCGGCGAGGGCTGGGCCGGGGGGCTTCCTGAAGCCATGGCCGTCAGGGCGCGGGGCAGCGAGAGGAGGCGGGAGGCCACAGGCAGCAGCGCCGGCATCCAAAGGAGCGACAGGAGCAGCGCGGCCTGGAGCAGGCGCTGAATTCGGTGTCTCCCCACAAACCACAGGCAACTGCACCCCAGAAACCCCTCGTTGGGACACACTCGGACTCTGCCCTCCCTCTTCTGCACCCCGAAGAAAAGGTCCCTGAAGCTGAGAGAGAAACGTGAAAAATTCAGGCAAAGGCTCGGTTTATACCCCCTCCTCAGGGGCCAACCTCTGGGGTTCGGGTGCGGGTGGTGGTCCAGGCTTTCGAACCGGGAGGGGCGGGGCCGCTCACTCACCGCTCCGCCTAGCAGGACCGCGGGAGCCCGCACCCCTCTCATGCAGCCTAAGCTGGCGGAGGAGGGTTGGATATCAAAGGCCACAGTAACGCCGAGAAAGGGCCCCACACTCAGGAAGAGGGGCCTCTACTTACCTGGGAGGTAGCCACGTGATAAGAACACAACGTACACCACGTGACAGTAAGAGCTGCGCCTCCAGAGCCAGCCAATCCGGCCCTCGCATGGCCCAATTTGCCCCGCCTCCTGGTGAGGGAGGAGCGAAGGGAGCTGACCAATCCACAAAGGGTCTGCAGCCATGTACAGAAATGGCCCGCCCGTTCCCGGAGCCGACCAATGGCAAGCCGAGGAGAGCCTCGGCGGCGGTCCACTGTCACGTGACGGGGGAGATCCCCGCGGATGGCGGTCTGTCAATGAGGGACGCGAGGAAGCCAATCGCGTTCCAGCCCTGCAGGCCACGTGATGGGAGAGATGGCGCCAGGAAAGCGGGGCTGGAGACCCCGCAGACTCGATGCGTCAAGTTGTAGAGTGGGGGGGGGGTCATCCCTAGTCCCCAGAGGGCATCTCACCACAGACCCTACGCGCTCCCCGAGGCCCGGAGGTGGGAGGGTCTGAGAAGGTTTAACCTCGGAGGGTGAAGAGAGCGCCCCCTGCCCTCTTCTTTAGGACTAGCACTCGCCTGGGATTGGGAATGAACAATGATAATCCGAGGAGAAGCAGTGTCCCTGGGCAGGGGGAGTGATTAGGCAGGCTCGGGCACGGCTAGACCATGGCGAGGTGAGGAAAGACGTCTTTTAGAAGGAGACCCTGTAAATGGGGCGATGAACATCGGGCAGCAGGCGCCTCCCCAAAGCTGGAGGCAGGCTGGTAAATCCGGGAGAAGTAGAGCTGAGGCTGGGGATATGGAGAGGACACCAAGAGGCAGCGATGGTCCTTGTGTCCCTATCCCCTTCCTATTCCCTCTCCAGACTGGTCTACCTGTCAGCTTGGGTCTCCTTCCCTTAACCGGTCCTCTTAGGAGCCAGGACCTGCCCTACATAACCTCCCTGGGGCTCAGGCACATCCTGTGACCCAAAAATGGAGAGGGGCCAATGAGAGGAGGGCGTGGTGGGAGGACGAAGCAGGGAAAAGGCTCTTCCACACCCTCTACCCAGTGCTCCTCCTCCCCCCAAGGTCTAGGGCCTCTGGCCAGGGGTGGGCGACCGGCATTTCCTAGGCTGCCTCTGGAGTTCCCTCAGGCCTGCCTCTCGGCTGGGTCTCCTCCAGAGCTCTGGGGGCCTTTTCCGTGTTTGCATTGGGGTTTCTTTCTGTTTTTGTTTTAGGGGTTTGTTTTCCTGGATCTGTAATCACTGTCTCCCCAAGGCTTTTCTAACTCTTCTTTATGAATTTGGGGTCCCTGAGTTCCGCATCTCTGCACTCGCTAAGCGTCTTCCTCCCTCCCTCCCTCGCTCTCCATCTCTAATCTCTTCCTCCCCTTTTCCCCCACTCGCACCCCAAGCCCGCGGTCTGCAGTTCCTGTATCTGGGGTCTCTGGCTGACATCTCTCTCTGCATCTGGGTCTCAGCCTCAGAGCTTGGTCCCTGAATAACCATCTGAGGCTACCGTCCAAAATTCCTGTGGCTCTGGAGAACTTTTTTGAAACCGGTGGCTCAGTTTTTGACCTTTCACCCCTTTCTCTAAGGGGGTCTGTTTTGGGGGGGGGGCGTTGTTTTTGCTTTTACAGAGATTGAGGTCTGTTTTCCTCTAGATTTTGGATTTGTGCCTCAGATTAACCTCCCCGCACCTTCCCTCCCTGGTGACAAGCATCTTTGGGTCTGGGGTCTCTTGCTCTCAGGGTCTGGGATCTGCAGCTTTAAAACTGTTCTCTCTCCAGCTCGCTCTCCCTCTCTCGGGTGTTTCTGAGTCAGGGGTCTCTGTCTCTCCGATTCCCACTGGGTCGGGGTGGGGGCTGCAGATCTCTCTCTCTCCTCCTCCTCCTGCTCTCTCCTCTCTCGCTCACTCCCCCGCCCCCCTCTCTCTCTCCCGGCTGCCGCTGCTGCCGTTGGCTCCCATTCTCCTCCTCCTCCTCCTCTCTCCTCCTCTCTGCTCCTCTCCGCTCCTCTCTCCTCCTCTCTCCTCCTCCTCTTCCACCTCCTCCTCCTTCTCCCCCTCTCTCTCCCCCTCTTTCTCTCTTCTCTTTCTCCCCCGTCCCCCGCCCCCTCCCTCCCAGGCCTGATGAGCAGGTCTCGCGCCTCCATCCATCGGGGGAGCATCCCCGCGATGTCCTATGCCCCCTTCAGAGGTACGGTGGCGAGGGGAAGGGGAGGGCCAGGGAGGGGAGGGGGAGGGCCAGTT